CCCCCAACAACCATCCCCAAAAACCATCCCCACACCCCCATCCTCCAAACACCACCCCCAAAACACCATCCCCCAAAACCCCATCCCCCAACAACCATCCCCAACCACCATCCCCACACCACCATCCTCCAAACACCATCCGTCAACAACCAACCCCCAAAGACCATTCCCACTAACCATTCCCCAAAAACCATCCCCAAACACCATCCCCCAACACCATCCCCTAAACACCATCCCCAACCACCATTTCCCAAACACCATCGCCCAACCACCATGCCCCAACCACCATCCCCCAATCACTATCCCACCAAACATCACCTCAGCATCCACCAAACACCATTCCCCCAAATACCATCCACGAAACACCATCCCTACCATCATCCCCAACATCCCTCAACCATCATCATACACACCATTGTCCACACATGATCCCTCCACCGTACTTTTGTTCACTCCCTTGCTTCTCCTGCGGTGCTCTCCCGTTCCTTTCAACACATCTCGCGGCGAACGAACTAAGGGAGGCTATCGATGAGCTGGCGTGAATCAAATTATCCTGTTCGCCTCATATTTAAGATGACGACTATTTTTTTCTCTCCTCTTAAACCGTAGACTTTTTCCGAGCGCTATGACGTATATTTGGACTTCCGGCGTGTGTCAATGTCTGCGTGTCCAGAGGATCCGACGGAAACCTGCTCACAGCGCCCTCATCCCAGATTCAATTTAAGTTTGTTGGTTTGGGTTCAGGAAGGGGCGAGAATGGTGTGGGACTTTTTAGTTTTTTTTTTTTTTTTTATTAAATACCAGATCATATTATTATTACATACCTTTTAGAGTCTCCAAGTGCATCAGTATCCTGTGCAACAATGTTGACTTCGTTTAAAGAGGTGGTTAAAGGTGTAGCGCCTGCCAATGTCAGGGTTGATCTTTTTTCAGAAATTTCAGTTGTCACCAGCATGGCAGCAGCAGACGAGGTGATGTCAGCATCACACGACAGCTGCTTGGAGCTTTTCATGCACACTTCATCCACTGAAACTTCATTTTCAGAAACCTTGTCCTCGCCAGTAGAAGACCCATCCACCAAAAGCTGCCCTTCTGTAGTAGACGGTTCAGCAAGCGTGTCTTCCATAAAGTCCACAGCAGTCGTACTATCTGCTTCCACCCGGGTCTTCTCTTTCCATTCTTCCTGCAGGTAAAGGTAATCTTTAGCTTTTTGATGATGATCTATGGCATTTGTCTCCTGCTGGGTTTCATCCCCTTGGAATATGGAGCTCATCCTCTCAAAGATGTTGTCTCTTTCCTCTTGGTTGGGGCTTTTCCCCTTTGAGTTGAGCTGTTCAGCATCATAGAAGTCTGGCAGTTTGCCGTAAGTCCTCTGACGTTTCGGGTGAACAGCGGCACTATGTTGTTTTATCTCCGCCTCAGATGAGAAAATGTTTTCATTGCACAGAAGGCAGGCAAACAGATTGTGAGATTTGTGAAGGTCTGATGTGTGGTGCTCTGCATCTTCCTTGACATTGGTGGAGAAGCCACAGTGTGTACAGACGAACCGACGTGGAGCCCCGGATCTTGCACTCCTAGAGGCATTCACAGTTCCGCTGACAAGCACAGATATTATAACGGGTGGTGACTGACCCCCTGGGTTAATATTTGTTGGCTGTGATGAACTGGTGTGGGTGCTCTCTTCTGAGAAGACCACATCCTCCTTTTCATAGAAGCACTTCTCCTCAATGTGGCGACTTATGCAAAGCTTTGCCTCGCTGATGGCATGGAAATTCTTTAGATGAGACCATGTGGCTGTCATTGAACTGAATTCACAATCACAATATGCACAGCGAAACTGAACACCTGGAATATGACTATATATATGAGACTCGATGGATAATTTTTCTGAAGCTTTGTAGTCGCAGCGCTTACATTTGTACTTCCCAGAAGGCAATTTGTCAGATTGAAGGATCACTTTAACTCTCCATTCATCTGACTTGCTGCCGGTTTGTGTGATCTGCCTAGGGCTTATAGAGTTCTCATTAACATTACCAGTTTTCTTTATGGGCTCGCTTAGAATAGAAGAGGGAGATTTTGCTGGAACCATAACATTGTTATTATCTGGGGAATTTACTGAACCATTCAAAACAGTTAACCCTACTTGCATCTGATCATCCTCAGACACAATTGCTGTAGTTAATACAGACATGTCAACTTGGCCAATAACAGAAGTCTTTGTGTGAGACACTTTTTCTTTAGAAATATCTTTCAAAGGTTCAAATGCGGAAATATTGGTTGATATTTTGTTTATGTTGCAAGGTTTAGTAACCCTAAGAGCTGCATCATTCTCTCTATCTACACACTGACTTTCAGTAGTAAGGTCAGGAACTTTTTCTTCTGTGACCGATTTTAGCTGATTACTTCCAGTGCTAGGATTATCAAAGTCGTTGTATGAAGCCAACATCAGGCCCATCTCATCATTAGAGCGAGTTCTTTGAACATGACTGAGCGGCTCAGAAATGGTGCTATGGGTGGCATTATTTTCAAATACAAGCGCATTTTNTTGTTTATTTTATTGTTAATTTTCATTGGACGAAATGTAGTGTAGTTGTAGTGTGTATCGGGCTACTGTTGTCAAGCACTAGTGTGTTGTATACAGCCTACCGGAAGTCTTACTTGTTTTTACTCACATCACGTGACAAATCAATCGACTAAGCGACTCCCATGGTGATGTGGCGGCTGGAATTGTGTTCTCTTGCGTCTATTAAATCTAAGAACAAAGAATGCTAAACTTGAATTCATTAACAGGACACAAAATTTCGACGTTTGGGCTAAGAGCCTTCATCAGAAAACAAGACAAAGGAAGAATAGCAATTATCAGATCACAGTAAAAATAAAAAAATATAAAAAAATAAAGAGATTTCCTTTTTGTTGCCGGAAGTAGGATACAGTCCATCAAGTATATCTTGCATCCATTAAGTGTATATCTCAGAACATCGTAATAAGTATTTTACATTCTGAGTGGATAATCCTATATGTGAAGTTAATAAGATGATGACAATTATTTTCTCCAATCCGGAGATTAATTTCATGCTGTAAAGTGAAATTTGATGTGAATAAATAAAGTGGTTGATGCAAGAGATGGAATTTTCCTCCTGCTTTAAATAATACAATAACTATCTTAATAGTTCTTAGGAACGCCGAATGTGGAATGACAGTTCCAAGTAATAAGCAAATAAAGAAGAAGAGCTTTTAACATTATACAACCATAACCTGTAACTCGTCGTGACAAAGGAAAAAGCTGGTTTAAAAAAATAACAAAATGAGAACCAATTTCCAATAAGCATAACCACAAACTGGAGAGAAAATGGGTGAATGAAAGAGGTGTGTTGGAAACATACGAGGACATTTAAGATGGTAGTCGCCATGGTTGGACCTAACAGCCTTTTGGCTAGTTCAGCTGTGCGGAGAATAGAAGAACTCGGAGAGAGCATAGTGCTACAGATACGTGAGAAAGTTAGGAACTTGCTGTGATATTCTCTGGCACTGAGTGGGTTTACTGATCTGTCATAACTTCTCGTGTTTATTTGTGGTGTCAATTCGGACTTTCAGATAACGGAAGAGTTGGCATCGGCTTGCTGCCTGCATGGAACAACTTATGCCTGTGAGCAAATTTTTTCAAAAATAAATGATGTGAAGTAAACACATCAAACGAGAGGGATTGATGAACATTTGAAAACAATTCTTTTGATTGTATGCAGCAATTCCAAACCAAACATTGATGAAACCTTGAAAGCCAAACCTCAGTTTCACAAATCTCACTAACCTTTTTTGCTGCTTAGTTTGTGAGTTTCGAAGATGTGCGCACTAGGTCTGATGTAACTATCTTTTTGCTAAAGTCGCCTTCTTTGCTAACGTATGTTGGTTGTCTTTGCTTTTTTGCATTGCACGCCACTCACCCATGATTAACATAGAATACTAAACTTAGTTTTTCGTCTTTTTTCCCCGGACCTTTCGTTCCGGCCCGCAAGTCTTGTACAGAATGATTATCCGGCCCACGTTCGTCATTTTACCCGCTATCCGGCCCACCGTGAAAAAAGTTTGGTGACCCCTGGACTAGATGATCCCTATTAAGCGTTTCCATGACTACGCAGCCCCCCAATGAGTTAAACAAATGGTGTGACGTATAAGATTAAAGGGTGTACCAGCGAAATAACGTCAGAGATCTGTTTTTGGGTACATTTTCAATGGCTTACCTGTTCAAAGAGTGAAGTACCCAATTGGTTTTTAAGTCTGTTAAAAAATCTAAACATTTCCCAGTCTATTACAAGATTCAACTGAATCTAAGTCTGTGAAAGAGCAAAAGGAATTCCCATTGTGCTAAAAGCCCTAAAGATTTATCAGATTGCCACAAGCTCTAACACTTTCTCAGATTGCTACAAGCTATAACAATTTCTCATATTGCTACCAGTTCTAAAATTTTCTCAGATTGCTACAAGCTCAAACACTTTCTCAAATTGCTACAAGATCAATTAAAAATAACATTTATGTTTGGCCTGCCGCTGGAGACATTGTGCCGCATTACATCTAGCATCACATGGAGAGGCCTAGTGTTAAAATTGTGACAAGTTTCTTCTCCTTATCTAAGATGAACCTCTATCTGAGATGAACGAGTCCCTTCCACTCGTCATGTCGATTGGCTATTGGTATTTCTGGGCTTTTAAACTTCTCGTTTGTCCCTCTAACATACCATTTAGTGCCGTTTCCGTTTGTATCATATGAATCTAAACAGATATTTTGTATAGCTGGACGAATTTTCTATAAATCAAGAATGTGCGGTGCTATGACTCTGGACAGCTTTACCTTGCTGTGTAAATCTAGACTTCTCTTCTCTAAATCTAAACTCCCAATCTAACGGGTCTACTGGCTTGTCAAAACTAACAGTGCCCCCCCCCCCCAAAAATGTTTAAGTAATCAATGGGAGACAACTGCTAGGGTACTTCCAAGTAATCCGGGTAGGAGTTGCCTCCTTCAAACTGGAAAAATTTTCTATAAATCAAGAATGTGCGGTGCTATGACTCTGGCCAGCTTTACCTTGCTTGGTAAATCTAGACTTCTCTTCTCTAAATCTAAACCCCCAATCTAACGGGTCTACTGGCTTGTCAAAACTAACAGTGCCCCCCCCCCCCCAAAAATGTTTAAGTAATCAATGGGAGACAACTGCTAGGGTACTTCCAAGTAATCCGGGTAGGAGTTGCCTCCTTCAAACTGGAAGTGATCAAGCAGACCGGAAGTAATAAGGATCCATGACACCGGAAATGATAAGAACCTTACGCTTCTACGATCACTGCACTCTTCGGGTGATAATAGGGGTGGGCTGGGTGTGTTGGGGGCCTGTGGGGCAGCATCCTGGGGGTGGGGGGGGCAGGACGATGGCACTTGAGATTGGTCACTAGCTGACCAAATATTTCTTTTATTTCCAAAAATAGGACTGATAGTGATAGCATTCCTCGGACGTCTCGTGCCCATTAAACAACATGACTTGTGGCTCGCCATCTGTTATGTTATGTTTCTTTCATCAATTTCTTGTACATGTCCATACCTCCTAATCACACCGAACTGAACATGAGTACCTCTTCCACGAGCTATGTAGGCTTAAATCCAGAAACATATCTATCAGGCTGTACTGTCAATAGGGTTTGTCATTTCTAAGCTATTAGATCATGTTACTATGTTTAGACTAGAATAAATGACCCGATGTTATCGGGATAATAATGGAAGGTCATTTGCGATAATTTCTAACTGCTAATGCAAAAATTAATCATAATTCATAACTTTGAAAATTTAAGAATACTTACGTTTCTAGCATCATTACGTTTTGAGAAGAATTTATCTGCTATATATTAAAGGCCTACCCTACTCCTTTTCACGCTCCATAATTACTTTTTTTCCCCCTCTAAACACGACCAAAAATTACGCAGTATAAATTATTACTAATGATATCAGTTTTGTCACTAAAGAAGTTAATTGAGGGACAATTACTACGTTAGAGAAATACTTTAGATTTCCCCTCCTTTCTTGCCCTTGAATTACAACTTTTTTCTCTAAAAATTGTTTAAAAAACTTGCCTTAAATTGACACCAAAAACTCTATATATGATATACAAATATTTTATGTTATAGTAATTCGATATATATTGATATCTTCAGCAAAAATTTAAACACATTTTTTGACTTTTTAAAAAAAAATTATATATTATCAGAAACTCGTAAAACAAAGAATTCTTTGATCTAAAGAAGAATCACGCAACCTTTTTTCACGTCTAGAACAGATTTGAGTCTTGTTGTTTTTTTTTTAATTTAAATGGTTAATCTCATAAAATACAAATCACTTTACGTTTTGCAAAGTAAAAACAAAAATGTATTTTAATTTTTTGAAAGTAAATATTAACCCATCCCTATTTTTTAAAAATAATTTTTCATGTGTGTAAAATGATTGGGTTTTGATATTCATGGGTATACTTATATAAATGTACCCAAGAGTTGTTAACGCCATTGATCTTCTTAATTGGTAAACATAAGTATATTTATAAAAAGAGAGAGTAACATCTTTTTTTTTCCACATATATAATACCATAGGAGTTAACTATGTTGTCATCCACGTGAAAATGTATACATTCTATTTCCTACCTCCGACATGTATTTCCCCAAGAAAATTAATTATTTAACAAAATCATTCCTTTATTTTGAGACGTATCTTGTGCTGCCTGGGGCAAAATGAACAGCACATATTTGTAAAAAGAGAATGTAACATCTCTTTTTTCCCAAATGTAATACCATAGGATTTAAATATACTGTCATCCACGTGAAAATGTGCACATCCTATTTCCTACCTCTGAAATGTATGTTCCCAAAAAGGTGAATTATTCCTTTATTTTGAGACGTATCTTGTGCTGCCTGGGGCAAAGTAACCAACCCCTCCCCCACCCTGATTTTTATAAATTTAGAACAATCTTCTACCGGATTGTTTGATTTGATTTGATATTTATATCGCGCTGCTATCCATGCCACTTTTGTATGTTCACTGCGCTCTGGTCCTCCGAAGTATATTGAAACCAAAAAAAAATTTAATTGTTTCTTTAATAATTTTTTATCATTTACAATTCCCTTCAAAGATTGAGGCAAACTTTTACATAATTTTGGCGCCATCGCTTCAAAAGAGCGCACTCCGTAAGACTTTTTTCTGTGTTCATCCACTCAAGAAACACTCAGTTAGTACTGTGTTGAAGACCGCAGGCTCTTCAGAAGTACATGTTTATAAATAAGTTCCTTGAGATATCCCGGTGCTGATCCATCGACGCAGCTGTACGCTGTACGCCAGGGACAAAATTTTGTAGTTAAT